TGTAATTGAAGTGAAGTCACTGATTCCTTCTGATTCTGTGGCCAAATCAGAAATGTCAGCTTCACTGCCACTGATATGGTTCTTGATATTATTACATACTGTAATATTGATTTTAAATATTTTCTCTTTCTACAAATGGTGACACCGTAGTGTTTAATACATCAGACTCGACAGGATTACCAAATTGGTAACTCCCACTGTGGCCCCAAAAGGCCCGAATTTACTGTGTATACATGTATTTTGCCAAATTGGTTACTTCCTGCATTATTATTTAATCTTGTAGCCCTGTCTTGTGAAGGTCCCTGTGTCAAAATCATTTTAGTTCATATCGTGTTTACAATGTGCATGTTCCTAAATGAAGTTGTATTTGATTAAATTACCACAGACTAGCTCATATAGACAACCTATCACCTGGTAACCTGTGATTGGGGGCCACAGGGTCCTCCTCTCAGGTTAATCTGGACATTGTTGGGGCAGCTCACATGTCAATATACGATAAACGACCGGGTATCGCGGAATGTGATGGGTTACAGAACACCGGTCCTGGACATGTTTGCTACAGGCGAGGCTAGTAAAAACAGCAGGAATGGTCTTTCAGGTAAGTCATACATTTTAATTGCTCACCTTGAATATACTCTGAATATCACATAGAGTTGTCCACAGTTTGCTTCTGTTTGTACACATCCGAGTTACTTGTGTGCGACACATTTTTAGTAACAAAGTCATGTAACAAATTGCTTCCCGTGTCGTGTACTGCAATTACCTTTCCAGTGAGAGAGAACTTAAAATTTCAAGTTACTTGGCTAACACTAGAAATGAGTAGCACAAATTGGCAGAGACCAGGTTGACGCTCCAGATATATTAATGAAGATGATTTAAAACCCTTGGCCGTAGGACATTTTGGCCCAATGCTGACATTACATAAACCTATACAATAAAGAGATTGACATCAAGCATTTGTAACAGTTAGTCTAAGTTGAAGACGTGATTTCTAAAGTTTTACTCAATCTGTAAGCCCGAGAGTCTCAGGCAGGGGATTTCTGGGAGCTTCTCCTGACAGCAAAACACTTCGATCAGCTTTTATGTGAACTGTGTATTGAGCTGTGTCATCCTCTAGAGGGCACTGATACTCTAAATAACTCAAATTGTAACACAGGTCTTGACACTCCATCATAGAGGGATTGGACCACATTTTGTCGACTGGAAAAAAAATGCCCTCTTGGGAATCTGCTTATCTTTTTTTACATTGTAGGAGTGTAGCCGTGCATACCAGTGACCGGAAATGTCCACAAGTTAGTGCATCATTATAGCACACACAGGTCTCATTATGCTGCACTGGAAATAATTCCATTTAAATTATGAATTGCTGTTGCACATAAATAAAAACATTAAATTTCATAAACATCTCAGCCAGGCCTACTAAAATATAAATAACAGTTTGTGATTGGAAATTTTGGATTGAAATTGGAATCTTGGTCTTTGCTCTTCATCCATGATATTAAACTGAACAGCTGTGCCCAGCACTGGCCAACACTCACACACACTCACATATAGCATACACACCCCTGCCTACAGACAGCCAGCGCATGGATGCAAAAATTGCATGCTCTAAAAGCTTTTCTCTTTCCATGTGAATGGCGGATGCTCCTATGTGAAGCGACTTGGCACTCTCCGCTCTTCTCGAGGGGAAATGAAATGTTGGAGGGCCATCAATGCAGTTAACACCTCAGGGAGCAATCCAGTGACAAGCTGCAGTGTGTGCAGTTTAAATACATACATGAAATGTTTAGCTCTGAAACTGTGCCGTGGAATAATAATCATGTAGCAAGACGTGAAAATCTGTTGGTGTATGGGATGTTCCTCTCTGTGCTCTGATTTCTGCTCAATATAATCTATTGCTCGTAAATTTCAACTTTGAAGACGGTCAAGAAGCAGATTTAGTAACCTTAAGCACTTGTTACTTTATTAGTCAAATTAACAATTGCAGTTGTTTTATCAGTAAAAATAGGGTTAGGGTTTTACAGTTTCCGGTTCCGGTTTTACATTGGTGCAGGTATGAGCAATTGCAATATAATTTTGATTACATTTTTTGAGGTAGCTAGCAGGCGGGATTAGCCTTTATATATGAAAGTCAGTGTACTGATATGTTTTTCCACTGCTTGGGTATCTGTAGTGATGCTGTTTCAGGCCAAGAACTCACAGGCAGCCCCAAACTGCATATACACAGGTTGAAATATCTGTATTAGTGTAGACAGATGCAGCCAGCGGAGCGGAAAGACAGACTGACTGTAAAAGCTGGTATAAATAGCCTGGCAGTGGAGGTGATGAATAATAGAGACTACCAATGCTGCTGACAGTGAGGGAGAGTGGCTGTGACAGTCCAACAAAGCTAAGTATAAAAGAATAGGATAGAATGAGAAAGCTAATGAAAACTATCCAGCCAGCTGTTGACCGAATTTAATGTGGAAGGTCATATGTCAATATAATATTGGACTTTTATGAATGATCAGCTAATCCTGATAGTCTCAGATATGACGTTACAATGCACTTTGTCAGATTAGATAAGAGATTAGTTTGTACTACGCACTGTCACATCTGAAAACTGTTAAACTGAGATTCCTCAAAAGGCATAAGTAGTAACTCTGGTAGCATACAAACAAAAACGTCAGCATCAGCCTTCACTTCACAGCACAGGCCTTTAAATTCAGCCAATCCCTAGAATGAGCCAACACAAAACAGACATAAGCTATACTTACGTAAGCCTCGGAGCGTAACTGTCACTGCATCTCAACAACAAGCTTTCAGGTGAGAGGTAATGCTTAAGGTGTATCCTTCCTTTAATAGGCATTGCTTCAGGGTATTTACACAGCACAGTAGCTGTGTGTGTGTCTGTTCCTTCCAAAAAGTACGGGGGAACCAGTCTCACAGGGTTCAGTCCTTTTATTGCTGACCTATAGTCGCCGTGAGTGCGTGTGTGCGTGCTTGTGCATTGTATTAAAACAAAAGAGGGAAAATGTCCTGCTATTAACCGATATCCAACACCCACATATACACAGTCACACTCGGAGGTGGTGGAGCTGTCCCTCTGGTGTTCACTGAAAGATGACTCATAGGTGGAGGTTCTTCTATTCAACCAAGTTATGTAAGTGGAGAGAAGTGCACTCTGCTGGCATGTGTGTATGTGCCTCTGTCAGTACGTGTACTTTGTGAGTATTTACAGGGTTCTTTTTTTTTTTTTTTCATCCGCATCCAGCTTTGCACCCTGAAGCACTGCTGAAAAGAACCAGTGTGGTCACATTTCTAGAGGTGGCTTTCTATCATTCCCCTGCAGGGCTGCTGCAGTAGATGTGTGGCCCAGCACTCCAGCTGTACAGGCTTTTACTTGTCCACCAGTTGCATGCTATACATTCCCACCCATCTTAAATCTGTGTAGGTGATTTCTATGAGGTGGAATGTTTTCCACTTTAGTCGCTATCAATCATTTGGAAAATGAAAATCAATCATTTATGTGTGTGAGTTCCTAATAGACGTGACTGAGGCAAAGTTTCTGTCAGTTCAGGTCTGGAATTCATTTGCAACCACTGATCAGTTGGTCTCAGGCAGGAGGATTGTATTTAGGGCTGCAACTAACTATATATATCTTACTGTACAAATAACAGAAAGCCTGTGTTTGAAAGACATGGGTTCTTGTTTTTGGAGATTGACCCCTTGAAAAGTGAGAATATTAACCATTCTTTTTTTAATCTCTCTATTGAGTCCCCACACTTCATGAACGTACATTACTAAATGACTTGAGTATCCCTTCAAACTATCAATTATCAAATAGCTGCTAATTAAATTACTGTTGATTGACGAATTGTTTCAGCTGTAATTGTATCGGCACAGGCGGGTGTGATTTAGGGTACAATTGTTGGTCTCTTGAGAGACAACATGGACACAGATAAATGTTTTGAAACAAACACAGGAACCTATTCTGCACTCTATCCTCAATGACCCTCTTTAGGTATTGGTGCTCACTCCCCTGTGACCTTCCTCTATTCTCTGGGGTGAGAGTTTACCTTCCGGTACACCATCCACCACTGACATTGTGGGGCTATTTTAGAGACTAGGAGCCATAGGTCAGGGGTGAGATGCCATAAATGGTGTCTATCCTATGAGACATGGTTGGTTGGTAGACAGACTAATTACAAGGCCCCTGTGACCTAACCTCTGCCCCCTGAGATCTGTGCCATGTGACCATGAGAGTGGAACCCATGAACACCCCATTGCTCTTAAATTTGACAGCTAGTTTGTCATTTATACTTTTATTATTATACTTTATACCATTATTTTACACTACATATCTTTTTACACTACAGATACAGTCCATCTCTTGCTCAACTCTCATAGTTTGGGAAAGAAAGTGGAAAGGAGAAATGCCCAAGAGTCTCTGCTGGCTGTAGCATGGGGCTACACTGTGTGCAAGCTGTGTAGAGATGACTCCAGATGGATTCCAAGACTTATTTAACACATTACTACCCCCACTCTCATCCATGGTCAAACTGCAGTCGAGGGGTCTGACCTTCGAACTGGGTGACCTAACCCTGCACGTCCATAGCTCTCACTTTTAGTTGAGAACGTGCTTATTATTCTTTCTAGGATGAATGGCTGTAGGGTCTTTAACACTGTTTTGTAGAAGGAAGGCAAAAAGACCGACATGAGTGGATATTTGGCAACTGAGTATCTCGCCAGACGCTGACCTTGTGTGACATTCCAGAGATGCTTCTGTGTCTAACTCCTGAATGGTCAATGGCA